AAGAAACTGTCCAGATGACCTGACTGAAAATTGTTGGATTGTATACCTGGATTATTGAGCATGGACTTTGTTGATGTACAGAGTAGTAACATCTACAGGGGACTCAAGTTGATGAGCCGCACAATGAAGATCAGGGAGAGAGTTGTGGAAACTGGAGTTAGATGAGAGATTTGTGAGCAGCGGTATGGGTTCATGATGTGAAAGCACCACATATGCCATCTTTGCTGGGGATGCTGATGGAGAAATACAGAGAAGGTCAGAAAGAACTTCATTGTGTTTTTGTGGATTTAGAAAAAGCATATAACAGGGGGCTGATGGAGGAGGTGTGGTATTTCATGAGGAACTCTGGAGTGGCAAAGAAGTATTTTAGACTGATACAGGACATGTATAAGGGCAGCAGGACAGTGGTGAGATGTGCTGTAGGAGTGACAGATAGCACTCCCACCTCCACCTTGAAGCTAACACATGAGGTCAGACAGGAATCCCCATGGACTATGATGTTTGCAGATGACATTGTGATCTGTGGTGAGAACAGGGAACAGGTGGAAGAGAACTTGGAGAGATGGAGGTATGCACTTGAAAGAAAAGGAATGAAAGTCAGCACAGACACAGTACATGTGTGAATGAGAGGGAGGCCGGTGGAACAGTGAGGCTACAAGGAGCAGAGGTCACAAAGGTGCAAGACTTCATGTACTTGGGGTCCACTGTCCAGGAAAATGGGGAGTGTGGTAAAGAGGTGAAAAAGAGAGTCCAGGCAGGATGGAGTGGATGGAGAAAAGTTTCAAGAGTGATTTGCAACAAATGGGTGTCAGCTACGGTCAAAGGAAAAGTTTACAAGACAGTGGTGAGACCAGCTATATTGTATGGTCTGGAGAAACAGACATGGACAAAAAGACAGAAAGAACTGGAAGTGGCAGAAATTAAGATCTTGAGGTTCTCCTTAGGAGTGACGAGGTCTAATATGTTTAGGAATGAGATCATCAGAGGTACAGCACAGGTTGAACAACTGGGAGATAAAGTTAGAGAGGCCAGACTGAGATGGTTTGGACATGTCCAGAGGAGGGTCAGTGGGTATATTGGTAGAAGGATGTTAAAAAAAAAAGAGGAAGGCCAAAGAGGAGATATTTGGATCCAGTTGGAGAAGACATGGAGGTATGAGTGAGGGCAGAGGACAGGTTGAGATAGAGGAGGAAGACTCACTGTTGCAACCCCTGAATAGGGAAAAGTCGAAAGAAAAAGAAAATATACAGTATATACACAGTAGTCCCTCGCTACTTTGCGGTTTGTTTATCGCGGATTCGCTCTATCGCGGTTTTTCAAAATAAGATTTGACATGACACACAATTGGCTGATTGATGGGTGAGCCATACGATCGGCATGGAATTTTTATTTAAAATCTATTTTTTTAATTATTTAGCACCTGCTGCTCCTTTGTGCAGCCCATGCTGCAGGATAAATTTCCTCCTGCAGCCAAACAACTATCAGCTGATTTGCGTGCAGAGCGGAGAAGTGGGCGTGGCCAAGAGCGTTTGCAGTTGGCTGAGAGCAGCGAAGGCACAGAGAGGGAAATCATGACACTATGTGCTGTTTTAGAGCATTTAGAGTTTAGAAACATTGTTCAGAATATTGCAAGAATGTAGGAAGGGTTTAAAACACCTTAATATGTATCTATATAAATACTAAAATAATCTACTACTTGTTACTTTTACAACTATTCCTACTTCGCGGCTTTTCACTTATCGCAGGTTTTCAGGGTATGGATCCCCCGCAATGAACAAGGGACTACTGTATCTGTATATTAAGGTTAACATTAAGGTTTACTTGCATTCCCTGTTCAGTTCCAGTTCAGCAAAACTCATCTTAAAAACTACAAAACATTTACTATTCAAATCCTTCAGTGATGTAGCCATTTGTGTACTGCTTGTTTTTTTTAACTAATTACTTTTTAAATATTCTATTTTGTATCTGAAAGTTTGTATAATGTCTGATAGTGCTTTAGCTTAACATTTTTGCCACAAAAAAAAGAGGGGAAAAGAGAGCAACAGAGCAAAACCCAAATGGTCATACCTGACTGTCTCAGACACAAAACTGAGAAAACAGACAGAAACTGGAATAATCCTTTTCATATTTTATTTTCAGCGCTGCACACATCAGCAGCTCTTCTCCACGCTCCGGTGTTTTGTTGTAAACAGAAACAGGGCAACTCGTTCAGTTTCCCTCCGAAACCTGCCACACAAACTGCTGACTCTGTTCTGTGATAATCACATATTTGGGAGAGCCATTTGTGTCGCAGGAATGATTAATGTGGAAAAGTGGATCTCATCTCTCTGTGGGGCCCTTTGCCAAAGGATTAGAGACTTACCTGTGGGTGGTCGCTTAGATCTGGGACATAGTTGGAGCGGAGGATCTATTCACATTTGGAGAAAGGCCTCATCTATCTAGTTGTTGCTGCTCCACTGGGAGCGGCAATTTGTCTCGCCTGTGGCCCAAGAGCCTGCTCTGCACAATTGCCCCAGAGGAGCTGAATCAGCCCACACTGAAGAGGGCAACTTTTGATCTGTCACGACTTTCATCTCATGCCCTACTTAATGCTGCATTTAAACCCATTTGTTAAACGCTCTGGAACAATTCTTCTGGATCATGCAATTAATATCAAATTTTAAAAGTCTTGACTGAGTCAAATTAATGATGAACTTGATCGTTGTTATTGTAACAAGAATCATCTGTAATTAATGTGATAAAACAAAAGCAGTTATGGGTCTTGGAAAGTAACAATATGTACAGTGGCACACGTAATTATAAATTTGAAAAGTACATCAACCTGAGAATAGTTATGCCATATTAACACTGCTGTATACTTCATTATGTTTAATGTGATTATTGTGCGTATGTAGATATGTAATGGCTGCAGCATCTGACAATTATTTGAGTAAACAATACACAGACGCATGTGCTCAACGCTGAGCAGCTGCATTCTGTTCCTGAATCACAAGTCCCTCGGGTTGTTGTAAATGTTTTTGGGGCATGCAAACGAACATTAATTTGGGTCAAAAGTGACGTCTTCTCTCCAAAGATTCAGACCCGAGGCATGGCCCAGAGGACTTTTTTTGCTTTGGTGGCCAAACAAATTCTAGTTTTACTCAACAAAAGATTTCTAACTGCATCTTGGGAAGTAGCTTACAGCTGCATTCAGCATCTTCATCGAGGAAGGACAAAAGTCGTTAAAGACGTTACCAATGGTGTTTAGAACCTCAAGTGTATTTTAACGTGCATCACTAACACTGTACCGTTTTTTGGTTCTTGAACTTTCGGTCTAACAATTAGACACAAAATAGGCAAGATTAGGTTTGAAGTCTGTTTAAATTTATGAATTAAGCGACAGAGACAAACACAAGCTCTTTGTTGTTTATACTTAATTGTGAAAAACTACACACTATTTATTTTCACTTATTTTATTACTTTATTTGTTTTATTACTCTTAGGAAATATGTGTGTGGAGATGCACATTCCTACTGCTACATCTGATTTTTATTGTTTAAACAGGAATAAATTTGTAAAAATTAATGGAACCGTAACTGTCCCCATTTCTTCATTTCATCTTGACATTTTATTATTTTGGCTGTCCGAGCTGGAAATGTCCCCAGATTTAATGTCAGAAATCTTGTCACCTTACAGTAGACAACAATGACAACAGTAGAAAATCATAAAAGAAAGCATATAAATTGAAAAAAATAATAATAATAAATTGAAGAAAATGATATTAAAATAACTAAACAAAAACAGCTACATTGTAAAGCGATATAGAAAACTAAAAACAGGAACATGTCTGCGTTGGTTTTTGACATGATCATAGCAGATGTTTGAAGCCACTTACAGAGGTCAAGGTCGAGAGCTTCAGATCATTTTGCAAGATATTCCAGGAAACAGGAGCGGAGTAGGAGAAGGTCCTTTTACCAAGTTCAGTCCTCACTGAAGGAACACTGCATGTAATAATGTCCTGAGAGCGCACGCTGTAGGGCATGCATGCGTGATGAATGCAGCTGAACACGGCAATTCAAAGTTATCAGATAAATTTAACATGTCTTATTTACTCCCTCCTTTTCTGTGCACATGTTCAACAAACACAACACTCACCTCATCTTAGAATATCTTTACTCAGCACATGAGAGACCATCTTAGCACCAGCATAACTGGTTTATTCCACTTTGGAGTAAGCTGTTGGGGGAAGAATCAGTTTTGTTGTGCGTTTCCTTGACTGATGAAGCCTTCCGGATCGAAGGCGAAACGTTTCAGCACAAAAAAAAGAAACTGTCCATATGACCTGAGTGAAAAATGTTGGATTCTCAATAAACATTGAAAAAACACTAACGTTTCCAGAGGTTGTTCTTGTGTAAACGGAGCCTTATAGCAGGTAGATCATTTTGACTTAGTCATTTTAAAAGTAGCTCGCATGCTGAAAAAGTGTGGACACCCCAGACAAATTATATATTTTTTGTTTGTATATGTTATGTATTGTCATGTTGTACATGTGCATCTAAAAATTTAGAATATCATGAAAATGTAAAAATAATTGTCAATCATTTCAGAAAGTACCAGTAAATCCCATCATATAGATTCATTGCACATAAAGTGAAATATTTCAAGCCTTTTTTCTTGTAATTTTTGATGATTGTGGCTAAATGCTTGTATGTTTCCATAGAATAATTAAATTTGTTTCTGCATTTGATACACCCAAGTGGAACAATGGGGGCTCAGGGAGCAGTTGGGAATCAGGTGTCATGCTCAAAGACACCACAACATATGGGCAATGCGGGGAATCATACCTGCAACTTTTCTGTCCAAAGTTGGTTGTTTAACAGCTGCCCTTGTTAGTTGGTTTACCTTGTTTGAACAGTTTATTTATTAGTTTTCTGAGTGTTAACCAGACGTCAACAACATGTAAATCTTTTGGTATTAGGACCGGAGCCAAACTAAACACTGCTTCTTGTCCTTTTCCTCAGAGAGTGTGACAGAAGTGGGGACAAACATTTACGTGACCAGTTTTGGACCAGTTTCTGACACAGACATGGTGAGTAATTCTCTTTATCCTCCTCTGACCATGGATTTAAAAAACATCAGTTTACGCAATCTGATCATTTTACAGGCAGTTGCTCTATAAATATTTACCCTATTAGTAATTGTTTTACTTTGTTGCCTTCCTACTTGGAATTTTTTTTTATTTTTTTATATAATTATTATTATAAGAAAATAACACACATAATTCATCAGATTAAGGAAGTTAGTTGGAGGATGAGTAGTCTGAAAAAAAAAGCTTAAAACTGTCAAATTATGCAATATTTCTGTGTTGTTTTCTTTTTGTTTGTTTTTCTTTGCAGTCTTTGAACACAACTTTTACATCTTTAAATGACTTGGGGTTAATGTAACTTCAGCTCATCAGGGTTTTTGTAAAAAAAATATATTAGAAAACAGAAATATGTTTCATTTTTGGTTAAAACAAAATGTGAAAAGTTCAAATTAGTTATGTAAATTCTCTGGTCAGAGTTCAGACCATCTCATCACAGCTTATTTGTAAATGATTTTAGCTCCAACTTTGCATTAATGTTCTCCAACGTTCGATTTCCTCCCCGAAAATGACTTCTGTCGACTCTCCTCCTTTCAGGTTTCAGTCGTTTCTTTTCAGAAAAAAACAGAACTTCATGTTTTAGCTTCTGACTCGGTATCTCTGATGCATTTGGTTTTTTTTATTCTTTTTGCACCCAAAGGTTATTTTACTGACTTAATATTATCCAAGACTGTCCAACTTGTCATTGTTTAAGTGTAATCAAAAGACTTGGAATTGTTTGCAACTACACTCTTTTGCTCATTTATTAAAAACTATATGATATACTTTTGGTAGTTAATGATGCATATTTAGTAGTTCTCTTCATCAAATATGAAACGTGTACATTTTTTATAAAATAAACATTGACTAATTGCATACTTTGACAACTATTATGGCTTCAAAGGAAAATAAGGCATTTCTTCCCCAAACGTGGACAAATGTGCATTATTCCTACAGTGGAGCATAGTGGTGGCAACTTTATGAAGTGGGAATGTTTTTTTTTTTAACACATAGACTGGGAAACTGGTCATAGTTAAAGGAAAGATGGATGGTGCCAAAAACAATGCTTGAGGGAAACAAGTTTTACAGAGATTTATGCTTGTATGGAGGTTCACCTTTCAGCAGGTCAATGAGCCTAAATACACTGCTAATGCAACGCTCCACTTGTTTAAGAAGAATCAGTTAAATGTCTGGTAATGGTTCAGTTAAATCCCAGACCTCAATTCAATCCATAATCTCTGGTTTTATTTAAAGACTGCTTTAAACAAACCGCACCCATGTAACTTATGGGAAGTAGAGAAGTTCTGCCAAGAAGAATGCAATCCCAGTGGCTAAATGTGCCAAGCTTATAGAGGTGTACAGTACCTGAAGAGATTTGATCAATGGTGCTTGAGTTAATAATCTATGCCATAGTTATTTTATGCTATGAAGTCTAAACATCTTAGACATTTAGCTATTGATATGAACAGATATATAGAAACAAACATTGTAGACATTCCAAACCCAGTTTGCAGCTCTTGCATGGCTAGCTGCTGTACATTATGTAGTTACAACAACTAACTTTGGAGAGGTTAAACAACGACAAAACAGAAATCCTTTTCAGTGGTGGTAGTTGACTCATATAACACCATCACACATCCTCCCAAACATTTAAAACTGACTTGCTCTGAGTGAAAGTCTGCTCCTTTTTTTAAAGCAGGACTATTCTGGGCCCTGTGTGACCTCTGCTAAACAGCAGATGCTGAACATATTTCATACTCTCTCCAAGGGCCTCAGCCAACGTTTGATATATTTAATCATACAACTCTAATTGACCACCATGGGCTCGGCGTTGTTTGTTTTTACTGTAGAAAAGTTCAGAGCTTACTTGACAATCGATTTGACAAAGCAAGTCATGTAAGTTTTGTTCTCACTAGACAACTACTTATCTTTTTGGATCTTTGCTCGGCTTTCCTGAAGCAGCTCGTAGTCCTGCTGTCAGGCTTCTAGAAGCCAACAAGGAGCTCCTGAGGCTCTCTGACTTGTGTGAACACCATTATAGACGAGGTAGAAGCAAATGTCTTTGTGCCTTATTCTTTTTTTTATTATTTATAAAATTAACTTGATGCAACCATGTAGTATGGGATGGTTGTGTAAAGAAATCCACACACACGCACATGGTGGTTTTGTGTTATTGTTGCACGACTTTGACATAGAAGACCAAGGGTTCTAACCCCAATGCAGCCATCCTCCTAACAACTTTACTGCAGAATAAGCAAGGGACAGAAATGATGTCCTGCCAGCTCAGATGTCACTTGGATTAACAAGATCCTCATCAGATGATGGGCAAACTAGGACATTGGGAGGAGAAATGGGCTACTGGAACAAGCCATTACTGTATATATAGATATAGACATGTTCCTGTTTTTATTATTCTACACCGCCTTACAATTTAGCAGTTTTTTCACTACTTTTCCTTTTAATTATCATTTTAATTACCATTTTATTTTCACTTGTTAAAAAATAAATAAATTTGTCTATTGTTGTCATTGTTATCCACTGTTGTCATCACTCTTTGTTAAAATTCAGCTCTCTGTTGTAAATGAGTCCCCAAGGCTCAGTAGGATTAACCTGTATAAATAAAGGTTGAATTAATTACTGGACAAGAGCAGGAAACTTAATGTTATTGGAATGCTGCTAAACATGCTTGGTGATAGAAATGAAATGGAAAGGATGTGGATTGGAGAATCTGAAACCTAACATCCAGATTATAAACAACTTAAAACCTGGTGCTCCAATATTTGCATGAGGAATCTGCTATCACACTTAAAAATTTCTGTTTTTAAAGTCAGTTGGCAGTGGCAGTCATCTTGAATGAGGTTGACTCTAAAGGCTAATAAGTTGTAGATGTACACACATATAAACACAAATGCAGGCAAGAATGTTATCGTCCTCCTACACTTTAAAAATGAGCGATATGCTGATGTCCGCTATCACTGAAAGATTTGTAGCAACCGTTCTTAGTTTTTTGATGCACTTGAATACAAGATATTCAAGTGGGTAGGAGTTGCACTGTAGAAGAACAGTGGTAGTTTTTTCTTTTTCACACAGTGACAAATCCTGGCCAGGGACGGAGTGTTTTTTTCCACCACCAGGTGCAATGATGAGGCCAGGGGGTGACCAATGGTAGCCTTGTCCATGGCCACCATAGATTAATGTTCAGCCTCCCCACCAGCCACCACCATCATTTGAGAAAACTATACTTTTAAGCAATATAAAAAAAATTAAGCATAGCTTCCTCTAATGATAGGGGAGGCCAGTTATAAATGGGGGCAGCCATTTTGGACTTTGATGTGGCAACCCAACGGACCTTTTCTACTCCTAGATGCAGCCACACACCAAAATGGAAGCTGATAACTCATTTATTTTTCAAGTTATAGTTTGGCTCACAAGGCGGCCAAATGGATGGACTGATGGGTTGAGGGTATTTCCAGTTTCCATTTACGCTCCGTGACAGGGGACAAAAAAATAAACATAGCAAGTGCACATCTGTGCATTTAGAGCATACTTGCTTTTATGTATATATTGGAACAACATCCTGGTACTTTCCACAAAATCCCTGCCCCCTTTTATGGAAAACAAAGCCTACACTTCCAGCTCTTCATGTGTTCACTAAGAAAACCACATCAAATAGGAATACGGTATTTGTTTGAAGTGTTTAAGTGCCTAAATATTATGGCCCGTCAGGTGAGTAATTATATAATGTTACAGCCAATAAACTATCACCAGCTTTGTATGAAAAAAACTAAATCATGATATGAATAGAAGGCAATCGAACAAAATGTTGCCTATGTTATTTACCTTCATCTTGAAATAATTTGTATTTTGTCAGTGTTTCAAAATATTTACACTCATCTAAGGACAGAAATTCTAGGTTTGGTTCATCCCTGCCTTTGTCATGACACAGTATGTGAAAGAATGAAATCTTAGTTTGCTATGAGGGAGTGTTGGCTCACTCGCTGTACAACAATAGACAGTGCTTCATCTTTTTCAGGGCACATCACCTTTGGGGTCTCTCAGAGCTCTGTTTTAGATCTAGACTTATTCTTTTCACATGCGTTACGTGACAGGAACATGAATCAGCGGAAACAGCTTGGTACAAAGAATCCCACTAGTGGTAATGCTTTTGACAGATGAACAGATAGCGAGGTCAGTACAGGTGTATTCTGTCCACTGTCAAAGGCAAAACATGTACTGCATATACAAATACACACCTTGGTCTTGCAGTTGAATTTGTGGAAAGATCCACCTAAAGCAGGGCTATTGCTCAGAGGGCCACTGTTACTGAAAGCCAACAGCTCAGGGGCCGGACATAAACCAAATGTTACAATGATCTGTTACCTTTTAAATTAGTTTATTTTGCTCCATTGAATCACAAGTACGATAAACAGAACCCAAAAATGTAATTCAAAGAAATTACATTTCATTTTTTTCTTTTCAATAAAAGTAGTGATATTCTAATGTGAAACAATATTAAAAACTAAAATGACAGCCTATACCTCCTATTTAACACACATTGTTCTGCCATCTCTTACTTGCCAAATATTGACACTTTTCAAAATTAAAAAAAATGTTGGCTGTTTTTTATGTTTCCTGAATGGCTGACATGTTTCTATTCAGATCAATTCAGGTCAATTGAAAACCAGTTAAAATATATATATATATTTTTTTTTTTTTTCATTTAGCCTTTATTTATCCAGGTTAGTCTCATTGAGCCACGAGAACTCATTTTCAAGAGAGACCTGTTTTAGGGAGCACATGGTGGGGTTAAGGACCTTGCTCATGGGCCCAGAATGGGGCGAATGAGGGTGGGGGCAAGTGTGGGTGTTTCACCTACCCCACCCACAATTTTTGATGTTGTCGGGGCCGGGGCGTGAACCGGCGATCTTCGAATCACAAGCCCACCTCTCTAACCTCTGCGCCACCAC